GGTTTGGGCTTCTCTCCCATGTTGACTACATCTATGTGTCTACATAGAATCATGGAATCATTGTAGGGTAGGAAGGGACCTTGGAGGTCTTCTAGTCCAACCCCTTGCCCAAGGCAGGAGACCTCATACCATCCTGGCCAGATGGCTGTCCAATCTTTTCTTGAAAACCTCCTGCGATGGGGCACCCACCATATCGAGAGGCATGAAGTTGCTTCACTGCTTCATGGTTCTCACTGTCAGGAAATTCCTCTTTTTTCCAGGTTAGATCTCCCTCAGACCGGTTTCCACCCGTTGGTTCTTCTCCTACCATCAGGCACAACGGAGAATAAATCAATGCCCTCGTCCTTGTGGCAACCTTTCAGATCTTGGAAGACTGATGTCATGTCTCCCCTCAGTCTTCTCTTTGTTGAGCTAAACATACCTCATTCTTTTAGTTGTTCTTCATAGGATTTAACCTTCAATCCCCTTATCATCTTTGTTGCTCTTCTCTGCACCCCTTCCAGGGCCTCAGCATCTTTTTTCTCTTGTGGTGACCAGAACTGGACATGGGACTCCAAGTGCAGCCTCACCAGTGTGGTATAGAGTGGTACCATCACTTTCTGTGATCTTGATGCTATACCCCTCTTGGTGCATCTTAGGACTGTGTGGGCTTTCTTGGCAGCTGCAGTGCATGACTGACTCATTCTCAGGCGGTGGTCCACCAGGACCCCTAAATCCCTCTCACAGATACTACTGTCGAGCCTGTTAAGTCTATCTTCCAAAGTATTAGCAATTCCCCCCAGCTTGGTGTCATCAGCAAATCTGATGAGTGCTCCTTCAGTCTCCTCATCCAGGTCATTTATGAAGATGTTAAATAGCACTGGGCCCAAGACAGAACCTTGAGGGACTCCACTGCACACTGTTACGTAGATGTGGTTCTACTTAGGACCACAAGTTGAGTGCAGTTGATCAGCCAGCTGCAAATCCATCAGGTAGCTGCACTGTCTACCCCACTTGGTTCTATCTTATGCAGAAGCAGGTTGTGGTCTACTTTATCAAATGCCTTACTGACGTCTATGTAGACTGTATTCTCTGTGTTGCTTTGGTCCACTGATTCATTCACATTATTAAAGAAGGCAATAAGATTTGTTTGGCATGGCCTGTTCTTAACACAGCCATGCTGGCTTCTAGTAATCACCCTGTTTTCTTGGTGCTCACAAATATGCTGCTTGATTATTTTTTCGGGATTTTTCCAATATTGATGTCATGCTGATTGGTCTGTAGATTGGTCTGGATCCACTTTTTCTCCCCTTTTGAAGACTGAGACCACATCAGCTCTTTTCCAGTCCTCTGGCTGTTTGCCCTTTGCTCCAGGAACTCTCAAAGATTTCATTCAGCATTCCTGCCTTGGGGGAGTGGAAGATCTTCAGCCTGCCACAATCTCACTGGGTGAGAGACAGTAAGAACTGTGGCTGGGCTGTTGCCAACTGCCATCCGGAGCTTGGCTCTATTTCCCTCCGTTTTCCAGGACTAGGCCCTGCTACTCCTGATTGCCTCACCCCTCCCAACATCAGCCACCTGGCTTAGGGGGAGTGAAGGCTTAAGTGTGGAAGGCTGTGGGGGGATATATTGGGTGTTGGTGAGTGAGAGTGAGTTGTTTGTCCTGGCTGCTCACCATGTTGGATCTCCAGGGGACGGGACTTTTTCTAAGACTGTTTCACTCACTCTCCCTTTCTTGGACCATCTGCAAAGATGCTCTGCCCCCACACAAGGGGCAGGAAGGGCCAGCGACTGAAACAACTTGTCTCACCTCCACGAGTAATACATCACCTCCTTCAACATCATGTTTAACACCAATATTCAAAATAACATCGAAACAAATATTGTTTAACGGACAAGGTTGTGTGGAGGAGGAGGGAGGATCAGATTTATATGTGGGGCTTTGGTATGTGATTCCTCAATAATTTATTTTAATGTTACACAGGGGGTTCATAAATTTGGGATTTCTATTTTTATTTTTTGTAATTTTCCTGTTCTATCGTATATATTTGATTTATGTATCTGCTTTGTATCTAAGTTTGTTTGGTTTACTTAATTTAGGTTAATTGGTCTCTATTTTTCTTTTTCTTTCTCTTGGATATGGAGTGGAAGGCCTGTTCGCCCAGCAGGGGGTCTTTTAACATCCCTGTGATCACGGGTAGAGGGAGGTATGGCATTGGCACAGTCCCTACTCATGTCAGTAGAACGATGGACAGATGTTTGAAAGCTGTTCATTGTTCTGAGACTGACCAACCCCCAATATCGAGGTAGGCAGTTCAGCCAGCCCTCCACTCTAAATCTGGTACTGTTGAATGCCAGGTCTGTAGCCAACAAACCCCAGGTGATTTACGACCTCATCCTGGAGGAGGATGCAGACCTGGCATGCATAACCGAGACGTGGATTAATGGGAGGGGGTCCTCCCCTGGCCCTCATCTGCCCGCCCAGTTATGCTGTCCAGCACCAGGGTAGACTGGAGGGGCGGGGGGGAGTAGCCATTGTCTACAAATCCAACCTAGAGGTTACTAGGCACTCCTCGGTGGTAAAGCCAGGTCTAGAGGTACTCCACGTGTTGATGGGGGCTAGGGATGGTATTGGGATTTTGCTGGGTTACCGCGCTCCCTGCGACCCAGCCACTTCCCTTCCAGAGCTGGCCGACTTTGTTTCCG